ACACAAAACGTTAAAAAAAAAACGCCCCTTTGGACGTAATTTAAAATTTGAAACCTTTCAGATTTTTTATTTAGTTTATATTTTATTTTTTCAAAATATTATCAACTCATAGAATACGGACAATAATTTAATAAATCTAGTTTTTTTATAGAGTCTAATTTTAAGAGACTGAATCCCCTGCCATGACTGCAGTATCATCTGCCAGAGATATAAACTCATTTATCTCTTTCGAGGAGCTTACATTTTCACAAAATTCAATTTTTTTCATCGTTTTCTGCAGTGGCATTTGAAAGCTTGCGAAACACCTCGGTCTAAAAGCTGAATATTAAATGCTTTATCTCCGGAAATGTTGGAGGAATTACGAAAAGCTTTGATTGGATATTCTGGCACAAAGAATCACTCTTTTACCAATCCGACTTTAATAAAGAAGCGATTTTTCTAGATTAGTTTGTAATACTTGTTTGTGTTCCCGGAAATTGGAACGTAATAAGAGGCCGATATTAATAAGTGGCGGAAATTTCAAAAGTAACCTTTTATTATGCACTAAACACATTATGAAATAAAGAAAGGCTTATATTAAACTAGAGGAAGTACCCTATGGCAGTTAAGTTAGATTGAGAGTAATGTATCTAACAACAGAGCGAACGATACCGCTGTAATCCTTCTCTAATAATGATGCAAAAATACGATTCATAGTCATGCATTTTTTCAGGCTGATGCGATTTGGAACCGACATAAAAAATTTCGATTAAAAAAAAATTCTCTCTCATTATATCAGCAACAATGGCACGTAGTTTACAATGATTTTCGTCTTTCTAATCCAATGGTAGTAAAAGCTCAAATTCCATCCAATATTTCACCTATATTCAATTTTAATCTATTAAATGTGTACAAAATTGATGATAATTAATCAGAAATTAATAATACGAACAAACACATACACAAACATTCTTCCTTTCTTCATTCCAACACTTTAAGAAATAAAGCATTTTTATCTCCAACGCGTGAGATTGTTGCCTCTCGGAAAAATGAGTGCGAAAATTAACATTTTTGCAGTTTTTAATTAATATCTCGGTTGATTAAAGTCGTGGGAACATGGAAATAGTCAAAATAGCTTCCCACGAATTTTTGAAATTGGGAATAATGTATTTAATGTTTGGAATGCTATTTTTATTTCAATGTAAAACTTCGAAATTTTTCATGAACAAACCCTAGAATTTGAAAATGAGCAGTGGCAACAACTTTCGAAATAAAGCAGATTTTCATCTCCAGCTTGCTAGGCTGCTGCCACTCGAAAGAATGAGGGCGAAAATAATCGTTTTTCCGAGTTTTTATTTAATATCTTTGATTTTAGCTACTTTTTTTTTTTTTTTTTTTTGAAAAAAAGTGGACGTCGATCTTTTCCGGGACCCAGAAGAGAATCGTAGAAAATTGGGCGACGATAGCTATAGTAGTGACTGAGTTATTAGAGGGCAAACAAACAGACTTACAGACTTTCCTCTTTATTGATAAAGATCTGCAAATATAATATATTTTGACGGTTAAGAATAGCGGTCTCAATTTTGTGGTCTTCGAAAGCTAGTTTACGCGACACGCACATACATTTCAGTTATGTATTTGTTATATCGCAAAGGTTTCGAGATTTTAGTTATTAGGTGTCCTAGTTTACATTATTTTCATTAGCAATAAAAACGAATATGAATAATGCACTAGAAAAACCTCTCAATTAATTCTCAGTGTGAATAAGATTATTTAAACAATCTCTACTCGTAGAGTTAATTAATCTTATTCAAAGATTTCAAGATACAGATTTGATTGCCTTTTTAACGTAATTATGTCCAAAAATTAATACAATAAGGGGAAAATTTTGCAATAATTGAATAATCAGTATTTGCTTTAAATAATATATAGCAATAATTGCTTTGTTTGAAGATACGCTTATATGGAAACAGCTTTTTTTCCCCCCATTTTTCTGCAAGTCTACAAACTTTATCGGAATTGAAACGCTTTCGAGTGTTGGCCTACAATAAGAAATAAGCGAAGTTTATAATTTATTACATGTAATGATGTGTATTTTTATTTATGCGTCAAAAAATAAATTAGAGAAAGATACTAGGTATTCATTATTTATTTTCAAATTTTGCAGCACTCGGCAGATTTTCTTCGAAAACTTAGGAAGATTTCGTAACTTCTTTATTATAGTTATTTAATGACTAAAGTAATTAAGTAAACTTAATAAATTAAAGTATGTTATTAATTAAACATATTCGAACAATTTTAAAGGCATGTTAGTCTTGAAATTTAATATTTAGCTGGCAATATGTTCGAATGACAAAATGTAACCAACAAAAACGTCTTCAACAAGACTTTTGATTTTAAACAGAGAATTAATTAATGTTAAATTCGATATTTTTTTCGCTATTGTTGCCGCAGCTTATGTATGTTTCGATGAATATTTAGTAAGGAAAATTTAAAATTTATTTAAAATTTTTTTCGTTTTGATAATAAAAAATTGTGATTTTGTTCATAAGAATAAAATTGCTTCGACAGCTGTTTTCATATCGTACATTCGACACGCATGCAATTTGATTTGAAAATCACCGGTTTTAGGCCGGCGAAGACATATTAATTACGGTGGTGTCAAAATTTGAAGATTATAGTAATTTGAAGTTCGGAATTACATAATTTTCATCATCATTAGAAACGAACATAAAAATTTATAAGGCGATAGTTAATTAATTCGCAGTGTGATATAAATGTTATTCAGAGGTTTGAAGATATTACAGATACAAAAGATTAATTTTTATTTGTATTTACATAAGAAAACAAGTAAGCTCGACATACCATGTACATACCATGTACAAAAAAAAAAGAGGGGCTGGACAGTTCTATATCTTTCGTTCTACTGGGCCGATTGACAAAATTCAAATTGCGTTTTTCATGTCTCGAAAGCATGACTTAGGATATATATTAGACTTATATGTAGCATTAATCTAACACAAAATCGGAGTTCTTCTGAAATAACATACCATTTTTTCCCTATTTTGATTCTATGATTCAAATCATGCCTAGATATTAAATTTTGTAATTTTTAGTGAGAAATTTCAAAATTTATCTGGGTGCATTTTTTTCAGTTTGCGCCAAGAATAATTCACTTGGCGAACTTCTTAATTTATAGCAACCTATTTTCCTTTTCTTCTTTTTATTGTACACCAGCGGATAAAAGTCATCTTTCATACTTTCAAATTATTTTAAGGAAGTGCGTAAACCACATTTGGCGTTATTATCGCTTATAAAAAATATGTCAAATTTCAAAACCCGCCAATCTGTAAATTCACGTATATCTGAGGAAATTTTGAATAAAGAACTCTTAATTTTTTGCAGATGTGCTTAGAAATACATCTACTTTAAGCTGATGGTAAAACATTTTTCGGTTATAATTCAAACATTTTCCCCCAAAATTTATAAAAATTATTCTAAAATACAAATTTTCAAAGTAAATCACAAAAATGGGCGAATTTTATTTGGAACAAACCTAAATTTCGGAATGTGAAAGGAAGAATCAAATCACTTTAATAATAATAATAATAATAATAATAATAATAGATTTATAAATATATATCAAATTCGACTAACATTGATGAGCTAAAATATTGAGAGCTAATTCTTTAAAAAAACTACCCCTGCAATTTTTACAAACCTTTTTCAGTTTGGCATAATTCGAGTCGTAGAATCGAAAGATGGAAAAAAATCGGTATGTTATTTCAGAAAAAGTCAGATTTTGTGTCAAAATACCTATATTATAACAATGCTACATGTACATCTAATACATATCCATATAAAACTCTCTCGCTCTTTTTCTAGTTCAAAGGGGCAATTCGCCCTGAAGAACTGTTAATTTCGTTTTGCCATTTTGCATGAAAAACTTTAAAAGGCTGTATCACATTTCCAATCGTTGCCACCATATATTATCACCCTGTCTTATATTTAAAGAAATTAAATAATGAAGAATCTGCATAAATGTATGTATGTTTCTCGCACTGTGATAAAACAACCTTACCTAGAGCCATCAAAATTTAAATAACGTAATCTTCGATAGAATGTGGGGATGTGGAAACCCTAATTTGGATTTGAAATTTGTTTGCTTATGAAATTCAGATTTTGTAACACTTCAACAAGTTTTTGACTAAAAAAGTAAGCGATTTCAAAGCGATCAATGCCAACACTGTACGAAAAAAAAAAAAAAAAATTATCCGCAGCGCGCGAGACTGTGTCTGAAATTATGAAGATAGGCTCATTTTGAAATTAATTTGCGATATTGCCGATGAAGTGAATTTTATGTTTATATACGAATATGATATTTAATAAATAAAGTAATACATAAAACGTTAAAAAAATAACCCTTTGGACGTAATTTAAGATCTGAAACTCTTTCAGAATTTTTCTTTTTGCGAAGTGTACAAGTTCATATTGTATGTAAAGAAAAGAAGCTCGTTGAATAATTGAAGTTGATTCTGAAGTAATGACTTTATGAGAAAATATAAATTTACTCACTTTGAAAATATCACCCTTCTTTTTTTTCAGACTTAGCTGAGAAAACGAACAAACAAGAGCATCGTTCTCTTTCGACCTTTAAAATGAAAAAGATATTTTTAAAATAGCATCCATTTTTTTATGTGAAACTGCTCCGAAAGCTCCATAAAAACTATTATTTAGTGATCGTCCTCATCATTAATCAATTTCCTCAAAGACCACAATATATATTGTAATTTCATGAAAAATTGACCAAAAAATATGTATTAAAAATTCACCTGACACTATTCAGAAGCAATTGTACGAGCCGGAGAATCTCCCCTCCCCTCACACACATTTCAGGGGGAAAAAACTGGATACTATCCAACGAATAATCGGCGAATCTCCCTAGATCAGAAATTACCTTTGAAGTATTCCCGTACATACAGCTGCTTTTTTCGCGGGAGGGGGTAATAAACATCACTTACCTAACGTAAGCAGCGGTTATGGTCCTCGTATTAACGATGGGTTCACTTGTCGGCCCCCGGCGTTTGTTTCGATGTCGGAGAAGCCGAAAAGCGCGGGGGCGCTGCGCCATCACGTGAGCACTGCGGCAGGTTGTTCGAAAGAAAGCGACATCTACTGACTGGAACTGGAAGTGAGGCGGCGACGGAGCGGACAGGGCAAGTCGATCAGATGAGCGACGGTCGCAGTTACGACATTTAACCGCTTCCGCCTTTCATATTAACCTTTAAACCAGGCTTTCTTAAACTCTGGTTCACGATCCCCACAGGGGTCGTGGGACCTGCAGCAGGGTTGTCGCCAACAATTTTACCAGTTTTGATATTTCTTTAACTTATTATAATAATTTTACAATTACCAAACATTTATAATGCAAAGGGGCTTTGTCCCTGAAGGACTATTGTTTTCGTTTTGTGACTTTGCGTTGAAAACTTTAAAAGGCTGCATCATTTTTTCACATCGTTGCCACCAAATACTATCGCCCTGCATTATATTTGAATAATGTGCATAAATGTATGTATGCTTCTCGCATTGCGATAAAACAATTTGAAACGCATTTTGTGCAGACATTTCGTTAAGCTACCTGAACGCTGCAGGTGTTCTCACACTTAAAAAGCTTCATAAACAAGTTACTTCACCATATTTATATCATTTGCGTTCCAGATGATCATAGACTTATTTACTGCTGATGTGTTCCATCCTTCGAAATCCGGATGTTTTGTTCGCCACCTTCTTCTTTGTTTTTCCGATGTCCCCTTGAGAACTGAGGTCGAGAGTCAGTCATGTGAGGTGTTTCTGGGGCTTTAGAAGCTAACTGAGCCGGATATCAACATGTCTGGTTCAATTACCATCCAATACATGCTTAGCATCAGTCAAATAGTGTAGAGAATTTTCTTTTAAAGAAATAATATTGTGATAGTTAGCAGTAGTTTATTGATGATAAAATATTTGAAAATAACCGAAATTGATGATGTCAATTATTATATATAAACCGGTTTCTTAATTTTAATTAAATATGTTACTTAAACTAATTTATTGTTACACTTATTTAATTATATTACTTTAGTAATATTATTTATAAAAATAATAAATATATAAGGTATTTCTCCCGCATTCTTAGCATGCCTCCGTGTTGTAGTGGTCAGCACGTTCGACGTGTATTCAAGAGGTCCGTGGTTCGAGTCTCGGCGAGGGCAGTGATAATTTCTCATCTGTCCTGCTTCGAAATAACCTAATGTCTCTACAAACATTTTAAACATTTTTAAAAGCTATTTTAACATCATTAAAAATAAATTAATAAAACATAAAATAAAAAGAATATCTCAAAGGTTTCAGATTTTAAATTACGTCCAAATTGGCGTTTTTTTTTAAATGTTATTAATGTTCATCGCAAAATGTAATGTTATTAATGTAATTAATGTTTTTAATGTTTTTTTTTTTTTTTTTTTTTTTTTTTTTAATACAGTGTCACGCGCTGGAGATAAAAACATTTTTTCTGTACAACGTTGCCATTGGTCGCTTTGAAATCCTTGAGTTTGTAAATTGAAAATTCGTTAAAGTTTTAGAAAATATAGAATCGATAATAAAACAAATTCCAGCTTTCAAATTGGGCTTACAGATGCCCATATCCGCAGGAGGATTACATCATTCAAAGTTGGATGGCTCTAGGTACTTGTTTTATCACAATGCGAGAATGATAGATACATTTATGCAGATTCTTCATTATTTAATTTCTTCAAATATAATACAGGGCGATAATATTAGGTGGCAACCGTTTGAAAAATGAAACGTACATTCGACGCAAAATCGCAAAACGAAAACAATAGTCCCTTTGGACCAAAGAAACATAATGTTTATTTCATTTAAATCTACTCACTTTCATTCATTCTTTATTCGTACTGTGACCGATATAAATTCTAACTGTAACCGTGTTCTTCGGAAATTAAATTATTCGCAAAATTTTCCTCTGTCATTTTCAAGCGATAAAAGCAGTCTAAAAACAAAAAAGAAAAATGTACGCGAAAGAAATACGGTATTTATAGATTACGACAGTTGCATAAGGAACAAAAATAAGATCATATTTATTTGGAAACAACGTTATTTTGCGCACGGATATAAGGCAAGCTCAAAGCCATCATCTAATCCCTACGACTGACATCATTTCTGACGTCACTTAGCTTTCTGCATGGACCTTTCTTATAAGGCTTTCTGCTATCGGAAATAGGTTCCTGCACATGACAGTCGCTTCGCTGGAAAATAACCAATCAGAACGGACAATTGGTATTTGTCTAAGCTGCATTCCGAATTGGATTTCTCACAACGTTAATCATCATCCAACATTAGTTCTGAAAAGATTTAAGCTCCATGTATACTAAGGCGCCTTATAAGTCGTTTTAGTATCAGATCCCAAAATTTTCTTAGCAACGAACGCGTTGTAACATAATGCTAATGCGGATACTTATACGTAAATAACTTAAAGATAGCAATTAGGTCATGAAAATGAACAAAAGTTTTGAAAAAATTGTTCTATAAGATTTATGTTTTATTATTTGTAGCGCAAAGGGCGTCACAAAAGGACTATTAATTACGTTTTGGCATTTTGTGATTAAAACTTTAAATGTCGCTTCACTTTTCAAAATGTTGCCACTCAATATACGTCTTATATTTACAGAAATTAAATCACGAAGAATTTGCATAAATGCATATATGTTTCTCGCATTGTGATAAAACAACGGTACCTAGAGCCACCCAATTTTGAATAACGTAATCCTCCAGCGAATATGGGCATCTGAAAGCTCTAATTTGAAATTTGGAATTTGTTTTATTATCAATTTCATATTTTCTAAAACTTTAACGAATTTTTGGTAACAAACTCAACGATTTAAAAGAGAGCAATGGCAACACTCTACGGGGGGAAAAAAAACCTTTTTATCTCCAGCGCGCGGAACTGTGTTTGATTAAGAAACTCAAAATTTTAAAGTGGTCAATGGCAATACTGCACGAGGGAAAAAAAAAAAAAAAAAAACTATTATCTGCAGTGGGCGAGACTGTATCAGAAACTCTAAAGATATGCTCATTGTGCGATGTAGTAAGCGTTGTTTAGCGTAGTAAAAAATGCGATGCGTTTTAACAATATAATTTAATCATTTATTCTAAGCGAGAACAGAGACAGCGTTAATTCAGCGAATACATGTTGCGTTAGCGTTCTACTGCGTAGAAGAATAATATATCTCAGTTGCCAATTCTCAGAGACTAAATTTTACATTAGTTCTTGTTGCCAGATGTAACAGATTAACATAATAAATGCACAATAACAAAACTGCGACGGGAAAATGCTCCGTTAGCCAAACGATAAAGTTACAAGTACGGAACACTCATTTTAAAATTATTTTGCGATATGACGGATGAATTGAATTTTCTAGGTTAGGAATACACAAATGAATGGAACATGATAGTTTATGGAACATGAAATTAAATAAATAAAAGTAACACAAAAACGTTAAATAAAGCGCGCCTTTGGGCGTAATGTAAAACCTGAAAGCTTTCTTTCTTTCTTTTTTTAGGTTCGAAGGGCTATTCTAATAATTGTGTGCATCTCCAACGTCAGATGACGGTGGTTCAGTGAGTTCACTAATTTTAACACTTTTTCATTTTTGACAATATTTTAATTACTATATACAGAGCGTATTCTTAGGCCGCCGCCTTCAACATGAACAAACTTTATTCTCTTCCAACTAAGCGAGCAACAGCGCCCTCTAGCCTTTTTCTTCAAATTACACAACACTCCCCACCTGAACTCGGTGGAGAGTTCATCTTTCAATAATATATTCTAGAATATTCAATTAATATTTCGACAATAAATCCTGGAGAAATGGTTAAATATAACAAACATGCATACATAATTATAAGCACATAAAATTTTACAAAACATTAAATGATACCTATCAGCAAGGTCAGGAGAATCAAACCTAAAAATACAAAATACAAACATTAGTTAAGTTCCATATTATATAACAATTGTATAGGCCTTTTTAAGGGTACCAGTAGGTGTTTTAATTATGCAAGATCTTATTTTACCATCTCTGCCTGGCATTAATTCCAAAATTTTACCTATTGTCCAAAGATTTCTGGGATGTTTGTCGTCATGAATCAATACAATATCGTTGATTTTAAACTGAGATGCGTTAGAGTGTGGAGGACAAATATTGGCAGATCTCAGATTAAAAAGATACTCTGATCTCCAACGCTTCCAAAAATGATTTAAAATATCTTGATGGTATTTATATCGTTTAATAATTGAATTTCTTGACCCAGTCAAATTATTTGATGTTATTTTATTAGCAGGCAGAGATAGCAATCGTCTACCAACCAGAAAATGAGAGGGTGTTAGTGGAGAAGGTTCATTGGGATCGGTAAAGAATAATAATTTACCTTTAATAACACGTAGGTAATTGGTCTACAATTAATCATTGCCTCGATTTCAATGAGCACTGTTTCAAGCTCTTTCACAGTAAGGGATGATCGACCAATAATTTTTCGCAAGCTGGATTTTATGGTTCGTACCATACGCTCCCAAAACCCTCCCCACCATGGATAGCTAGAGAAGGGCAAGGGGGGGCATCTGTCCCCAGGCACAGCATCCCAGGGGCGGCAAATTGATATTACGAAATTTTAGAATTAAATGTTTCCCTCTCAATAATAAATTTCCAATTTATGCCTCTAGCAGAAAATAATTCTTTCACAGATGAGTCACTCAAAGTTTTAAAAATATGTTTTAGTTCTTTATCAGCTCTTTTAAAAGTCTTGGCATTATCGGAGTACACGGTGGTACACAGTCCTCGGCGAGCTAAAAATCTTCGGAAAGCTAGCAAAAAACTTTCAGTGCTGAGATCAGTTACTATCTCTATATGTAAGGCACGAGTGACCGCACACGTTAACAACAGCATGTAAACTTTACCTTGCCTGTCTTTCGTAAAAAAATGGACCGGCGAAGTCCAACCCGGTCACAGCAAATGGAGGCGACTCTTGGATTCTGTCTGGAGGAAGTGGAAGCGATATCCTGTACCCCAGGACGAGCACTATATCGTTTGCATATC